ATATATAAATGAACACTTCTGTGCTTCTGGCCCTAGGCGTGGAGCTTCCTACTCCAGCAGTGAGCCGGACCACACTAGGCCGAGCCTGAGCAGAACCCCATCACTTTCCCCATAAAATTTAACACACAGTCTGCACATGTCTTCTATGGACATATGGACAGAGCACCCAGCAAGGGTTAGGAGATTTGGGGGATCCTGCACCACCTGGTCAGTAAAGAAAGGGTCTGACTAGGAGGTTTTTCCCAAGAGGGTACAGTACAGGCATTGAACCCGGTTTTGAGGCTCGGTGCCTCGTGATGCAGACACAGAAGGAGACAGACCATAATAGCTCTCGTTATGACACGTCCACCTTATAAAACTGATCCCATTATAAAACTGTTCCTGCTTCCTCTTCGGACCCTGGAATCTCATTCCTACAGACAAATGTCTTGTCAAGAGAGCTCCTTCCAGGGCTTGGGAATTAGCTCCTCGCTCCTGGAGCACTGCTGTTTCCTATTCCTTCCTTGTGTAAGGTGGGGGGGGGGGATCCACACTAAGCTCCCCTCCCCTGACAGTGACACCTGGCCCGTTGTCCTCTGTCTAGCAAGAGCCAATCTTGTCCTAGTCAGAACAGGCTGGGAACTGAAAGCGCCATCTGTTGCCAGACATAATTAACCTACTGACACCTACCTGAGTTCCAAAGTCCAAGGCCACTGAAAAGCCAGGCACTTCACGTCTGCCACTCATTAACGGAGTCCACGGTCAACCTGTTAACCCCTCCACAGCTCAGTCTCCTCACCCACAGAATGCAGACAGCACTCACACCCAGGATGGCTGGTCTAGGATGAACTGCGCTATCCCAGGCACAGGGCCTGGTGAATTCAGATACAGCTTAAGTGTTTGGAATCCAGCAACGCAGCGGAAACAAGCCGTGCAGGAATCAGCTGCATGTCCCTAAACGTTTAGCCTTTGTCTTTCAGCGACACTGTTTTTTATGTATTATGTCTTTCACAACAAGAAAAAAGGATTTAAAAAAAAAATGCGGTCTCTAGGTGACTAGCAGAGATATCCCTCACTGACCGATCTTTTGAATTCTGTATTCTAGGCCTTTATTACCGAGTTTTAAAAAAAAGATCTTTTTTTGGGGGGGGGGGTAACAGAGTTCTGAGTTGTTTATTCCTGACCTCAAGCTGAGCTCATATTCCAATCTCCAGGTAAATCCCTCAGTACCGGAACTCTCTGTCAGCTTCCCTTTCTCAGGTCAAGGGCTCCTTTCCTGACTTTGATCCAACTGTCAACTCCAACAAGAAGCTTTGCAACCGGCCTCCCTGTGGGAGGAGACTTTGAGGGCGGCCTCCCAGCAAGGTAAGCAGGCAATGCCCATAAACCCAGAATGTTCCTGCCCTTTGGCCTAGTAAGTTCACTTGAGGAAAAAGCTACGTGAGAGATGGACTCACGCTGGTGGGCAAAGGATGTACAAGAAAAATCATGGTGGGCTGGGCGGTGGTGGCGCACGCCTTTAATCCCAGCACTCGTGAGGCAGAGGCAGGCGGATCTCTGTGAGTTCGAGACCAGCCTGGTCTACAAGAGAGAGTTCCAGGACAGCCAGGACTGCTACACAGAGAAACCCTGTCTCGAAAAACCAAAAAAAGGAAGGAAGGAAGGAAGGAAGGAAGGAAGGAAGGAAGGAAGGAAGGAAGGAAGGAAGGAAGGAAGGAAGGAAGGAAGGAAGAAAAGAGAGAAAAATCATGGGTGGCATTGTCAGAATAAAACAAAACAGAAGGCGGAGGTGGGGGGAGGGGATGACAACCTGAAAATGGAAGCAAGTACTTCCATTGGGGAACTGGGAAAGGACTGTGCCTGTGGTGGAAATTCTGTCGTGATATGTATTAAATGGACAATGATGATAGGAATAAGGTACGCCCACTACATAGACATCAAGCAAGGCCCGAGGTCTAGTTCCCCCGACAGCAGCTGCGCGCCTTAGAAACGTCCAGGAGAGAAGACAAATGGCAGATCGCTTTCGGAAAGGAACTAGGGCTGTCTGGAGGCTGGCTTTAAAAAAAAAAATCTTATTTTCAATTTCCCCCATACAAATATATTATCTTTTCGGCTAAAAAAAAATGTAAGTTAAACTAAAAATGAAACCGTTGAGGAGGCAATTCCACAGGCGAGCTGGGGCTGCTGGGGAGCGGATTCCGAGCTTCCTCAGCTAACAGCCCTGCCTTAGACTTCTGCTCTGCATTTTTCCCAATCCAGTCAATCCTTCTCCTAAGGCTCCAGACAAAGACACCATTGTCTTCTCTGCTTTAGTCAGGCTGCGGTTTGTTTGCCTTCTGGCCTCTCTCAATGTAGCCCCTGATGTAAGATAAGGTAAGAGGGCCCCCTGTCCTGTGGGCAGCCCCTCCCCAGGCCTGACCTCAAATTGGAATTCCTCAGGTTCTCTCTATGGAACTCAGTCCACAGGAAAGGCATGAGCCTCTTACTTTATCTGGAGGTTCAAAGTTCCTTTTACTTTTTTTCTTGTAGCCCAGGTTGGCCTCAAACTCACTATACAGCTGAAGATAACCGTGAACACCTTGGGAGTTTGAGGCCAGCCTGGTCTATATAGTGCGTTCTTGGTCAGCCAGAATTACATGGTGAGATAGATCCTGTCTCAAAAACAAACCAAAAAAATCCACAAAATGTATTTATTTTTATTTTATGTGTATGAGCCTACAATACGAGCACAGTGCTTGCATAAGTCAGAAGGCATCAGACCCTTCCCAGCACCTCCCTCCCGAAGAACTGGAGCTACAGATTCTGGCAAGCTACAGTGTGGCTGCTGGGAACTGAACCCAGGTCCTCTACAAGAAAAACAAATGCTCAGTCTGACATTAAATTTCAGTAATCCTCCTGCCTCAGCCTCTGAGTGCTGGGATTACAGGCATGAGCCACCACACCTTGAGAAATGTGAGTTATCATTTTCCCAGACCCAACCAACCCTCACTCCAAGACTTAGCAGAACCCACTGATGTGTGTGGCCTTACCAGCCATTTGTGGGAGCTGACTTGCTATAGCTTTTTATGCCATCTGAAGTCTTCAGCCTTTACCAAATAGAAAAATAAAATACTTTCAATAAATACTGTATCTGAACAACAAGCTGGCACTTGAGGCATCGATGTGTGCGCCCACCAACTCCCAGGTGCTGCTGGTCCTCAAACCACACTGCGCAGTATAGCTGTGGACACCTGGTATGGAGCGTACAAGGACTGGCCAGTAATGTTCGCTCAAATTCACAGATCTCTCTCCCCCAAACAAGTCATGTCTGCCAACAGGCAGCCATTCTTAGAAGTAACCTAGCTGGCCTAAGTGTAGGACATTCAAAAGAACGTTCTATAAAAGCAGATCTGTGGCATTTTTCTCAGGCTGTGAACTGAACATACATGTTTTATTCCTTTAACGCTCAGGGCTTCTCTGAATGTGGATGAGTCTGGCCTCTGTATCCCTGACCCTGACACTGGACGAAAGCAATTGTCTCTGTCAAGTATACAGAAGATAGTGTTGGCTCCTCACCCAGACCAACTTCTTGGGCTGATGCTTAGCCCCAGTGGCCACGTGAGCTGGCAGCGAACAGCTCCTGGGTGTCCCCTTCTTCAAGATTGAGCACTAGCAACTAACTTTCCCAACGCCGGGGAATAAAAAAATGTTTTCAGTATTTCTTTTTTGTTTTTGCCTGATTGAAATGGGTCCACAAACCCGTGCACCAGACAGCACTGAGGTATCCTTCAAACCCCAGAGCCCTCTGAGGTAGGGCTGAGGCTAACACACTTTTCTCTTTCCCAGTTCTCCCAGGAACCCTTACTTCAAACATCATTTTAATATAGAACAGCTTCCAGGACGCAGGACTCAAGACTCCATAGAATGAAAACTGTTACTCATTTGCTGCTTTCCGTTGTTAGTTCTGGTTTGTTTGGTTTTGTGTGTGTTGGGGGGGGGGGGGGTTGTTGCTTGTCTAGAATTCATTTTGTAGCCCAGGCTGGCCTGCAGCTTCAATGCTCCTTTCTTCACCTCCCTAGTGATTATAGGCATGTACCACCATGGCTAGCTACCAACACATTTATTTTTTAATGCTATGGAAGTTTTCCTCGGCATCACTGAGTTTGTTTCAATGACACCACATCCTCACTCCCTACTCCGGATACACACACAGACCGCGGAGAGACAGAAACGGTCAGAGAGAGAGAACCCTATGGTTACTTTTTTCTTGGTGACGTCATTCCCCAAATAAGGATTGCCAATCCTTTCTTTCATCTGTTTGGATATTAACATAAGATATTTTCAGGCTCTTGTTTCCCTGAACCTTTCTCAGAAAGTTTCCTTTGTATTCTGAGTCTTTCCTTGGACGCCCTCCCAGCTCCCGGGATGAGAAGTCATGCACTTGGTGGCGGGTGAGAGGCAAGGTTAGCGCTATGGCCCACTCGTGTCTTTGCTGAACTTAACATTGCTAACCATTCTCTCATGGAGGTTCCTAGGATTCTAGCCAGGTTTTTAAAATGCTAAGGCTTGGTCCTTTTGGGCTCCATGCAAACATATCCCTCACTCAGCCGTCTGCTGTGTTTGTGCTAAGTGCCTGTATCTTTGTTTTTGGCCTAAATACACTTAGAGTAGTCAGTAACCAAACTGTGATGCTCGCAGCTCATCCAAAGGCAAAGACCAAGTTTCCACTAAATCCCAGGACGATCTCTGGAGCCAGTGAGATTGGATCACATGAACTAACACACTTGAGAACTTTTCAACGTCGTTTTTGTCGTCAAATCATGCTGATGGTTGGTAAAGCCCAGGAGACAATCACAGGCCTGGCCTCATCCTCCAGCCCTTAGCACCACCATTGCCTGCCCAGATCAGTGACAACTCATGGCTATCAGCCCCCAGCTGCTCTTACTCCAGTACCCAAGAAAAGTAGGAGAATATAGAGTTTAAGGCCAGCCTAGACTACAGGCAACATTGTCTCAAAACATAAGTGAGAAAACAACAAGAAACAGGTACCATATATATACAAATAAAGAAAAATCATAGCCAGGCGCAGTGGCACACGCTTTTAATCCCAGCATTAGAAACAGGCAGATCTCTGAGTTCTAAGCCAGCCTGGTCTACAGAGCAAATTCCAGGACAGCCAGAGCTACACACAGAGAAACCCTATTTTGCAAAGCCAAACAAAAAAGAAAAAAGAAAAGATGGGTCATGTTTAAATGGGATGGGATGGTGTTGATGGAGATTTGATGATTAGACCCACATAGTGAGAGACCTCATGTGAAATGGAGAAGCCTGTATCTACTCTACCTGGAGAAGCCTGTATCTACTCTACCTGGAGAAGCCTGCATCTACTCTACCTGGAGAAGCCTGCATCTACTCTACCTGGAGAAGCCTGTATCTACTCTACCTGGAGTTGCAGAATTTTGAGCAGAGATGTGGCATCCTTGTAATTTTCCTCCAGGACTTACTGGGCCAAAGGTACAGACTGGGCCTCAAGTGGAGAAGCCTAGAGGCCAGATGTGCCTAAGATAAAACTAATGAAGCTTGTGACCAATCAGCAGGTTTGCAACCGAGGCAAAAAATCATCCTCCAGACTCTCTGAAACACACCAGAGGAGGCCTCAAATCCAGACTGCCTGAGTTGGAAAATGGGCTCAGTGTAGCTCAGTGGGGAAATGCTTGCTTAGCATGCACAAGGCTTAGCATGCACAAGGCTTTAGGTTCTATCCCGAGAAGGAGGAGGCAGAGGAGAAGAAAGAAAAGTTGGGAAGCCAAGGAAGAGGTTCCCAGGAAAATGCCTGCTCCATTAGGAAACTCAGGGCAGCTGTTCTGCTGCCTCAGGAGGATCAGAAGCCCTGGATCAGGCTTACTTCAAGAGGTCAGCCAGGCACAGGGGAGCGTGTGTGCACACCTTCAATCCTGGCACTTGGAAAGCCCAGGAAGGAGGTTGGAGAATTCAAGGCCAGATCACATGACAAAGCTTTACCTTAAAAAAAAAAAAAAAAAAAAAAAAACCTAACGACAATAATAAAGCAAGAGTCAAGAAGGAGGCACAAAATATTTGAAGCCTGTCCTAAGCATCCCATTCTGCAGTCAGACTAAGGGGGCTGCGTTACAGCAGAGACTTTCTGTGTTAGCCTCCCTCTAACTTGTACATCGTGCCCAGCCTTACAGGAGCAAAACTAGGCCATGAGAGGTGGTCCGCATGTGACAGGTGACAAGACTGGCAGGGGAGGGCACACGGACAGACACATGACACGGATGGATGGACGACAAAGGAACCGGAAGTGAACAAGTCACATGCGCAGCCTCACCTGTATGTGTGCGAACGTGCCTCTTTAGGTCGAAGGTATCATTGAAGCCCTTGCCGCAGAAGGTGCATAGGTGCCTCTTTACCTGGTTGTGGCACTTGAGGTGACGGTTGAGCATGCGCTGCAGGCGGAAGCTCTTGCCACACAGGTCACAGTTGTGAATCACGGAGTCATTGCACATGCCTGTGGTAAACTGGGAGCAGAGAGAGAGTATGTGAGATCACGGGGGCTCATTTGGGAAACCAGATAGGTTCTCTCTAGGTCGAGCCTGGCTATGGCTTCTGCTCCCTCTAAGGGCAAGCAGGCTCAGCTTTGAGACAGGTGTGAAGACGCCAGTACTGGGAAATGGTTTTGCAAAGCATCTTTCCTTTCTATCTCTGCACTGTCTTACAGCAGCCTTTTGTTGTTTTTGAGACAGAGTTTCTCTGTGTAGCCCTGGCTGTCCTGAAGCACTCTCTGTAGACCAGGCTGGCCTCGAACTCACAGAGACCTGACTGCCTCTGCCTCCTGAGTGCTGGGATTAAAGGCATGTGACAGCAGCCTTTTAACAAGACAGACATGTGATCACCTGACTGAAGAAAAAGGCATCTCCTTAAGGGAAAAGCAAGGTTCCCAGTAGCTAGAGCCCCAGCAGCCTGCACCATGAGGAAGGAACAAATGCTGAGGATGGAAGAACAGAAGGAAAGGGTCTTGTTGTCAAGGGCTCCCAAAGACAGACACAGTCAGCTCTTTTCTCTGCGCCTCTGAGTACTGGTCCAGACTCCAAGCAATGGAAACAGGACTGGAGAGGTGGCTGAGTGAGGAAAGGCACTTGCTGCCAACCTTGGTGACAAAGATTGATGACCTGAATTTAATCCCTGGGACCAACACAGCGAAGGTAGAGAGCCAACTCCCGCAAGCTGTCACAGACCATAGCATACCCCCCAGAATAAGTAAATGCAACTCAAATTTTGTAAAAGAAATAGAGGAAGGATGGAGATGATTTCTCTCCCCTTGAACCAGGGCAGGGATTATGACTAAACAGAGAGCAGAAGTGATATGTTAATTCTGGGATACGGGACACCTGGGAGCTTCACTGCCTGCTTCTCAAAAGCCAGCCTCCATGTCTGAAGTCGACAGAGGCCAGGTTAGCCATGTGGAGAGCCAGAGCCCCATGCAGGGGGCACCATGGTGCTATCTATACACCTTCCAATCCAACCCAGGGTCACCACTACCTAACCGAGTGGTCCCAGACAACACCACTCAGATGAAAACTGCCTAGCTGGGCCACGCCCCAGGTCCAGATACCCAAACTGTGCACAAATAAAACCACCACTTGGGAAAGTGACTCGAGTCAGGATTCCAGAGCTTTATCACCAGTTGAGATCACAACTGAATTCCAGCCTCCAGCCTGTCCACCATCCCCAGCGCAGGATTCTCTCAGCCACCTCTGCTGTCTCCCTGGATAAACACCGGATTGACCGTCGATATGATGGGAAACACCAGATCTGATGTGCTCTAAGGTCAGATGTGCTACCAGCGGAGACCCAGCTGCTCTGCCAAAACTGCCTGTAGGGAGCTCAAGGATTGGAGGTGCAATTCAGCATCAAGGCACTAACCTGGACAGGCTGGTCCTGCGCTCCAGCCCTACTACTACCAAAATAAAGAAATAGCTGGACGGTGGTGGTGCACACCTTTAATCCTAGCACTTGGGTGGCAGAGGCAGGCTGATCTCTGAGTTCGAGGCCAGCCTGGTCACAGAGTGGATTCTAGGATAGCCAGGGCTACACAGAGAAACCCTGTATTAAATAAACAAACAAACAAATAAATGGGGGAGTTAGTAGAGGGGAAGGAAGGAAGAGGAAAGAGAAATGAGGCTGGGCACTAGTCCTTAGAGTTCAGTCATCCCTTGACACGGAGATGGAGATCAGGATCCTGTGCAGACACTAAATCCTTCGGGTGCTCAGGCCCTGATATAAAACAACACTGTGGCTTTGGGTATCATCCCATCTACATCTACATGACCTAAACAGATGTCTATAGAACTTTGTACCAACGTAAACTTTATGTGACTAGTGTTATGCTGTACTATTTAAGGAATAGGGACAAAAGACAAGAAAAAGATCTGTACATATTTGGCATGGACACTGTGTTCTTTTCAAATGGGTTGAATCCACAGGATGTGGACGCCTCGGGTATAGAGAGCTGCCTGGACTTTGCTCCACTCCATTCCAGATAGCCTATTACATTTACACTTCTGAGGGGTTCATGTGGACTCCTCCACTCAAGGCCCTGAGGACAGAAAACCCATGTCCACTCACACCGCTGCCTCCCATTTCTCCATGCCCAAGGGCAGTACCTAGTGCGCTGGGCAGCCGGGAGCGACCTCAGGACCCAGGGAGGCCGTAGGATGCCAGGACAGGCTTTCCTAGGCTGCTTCCTCTCCTGTTCATTCTTACTGGCTCGGTGTCTGCATTAGCACTAAAGTGACCGATGAGCCCTTTGGTCAAAGCACTGTCAAAGTAGCTTTTTCCCAAAAAGATGCCATAGTTGCTGGGATGTGGAACACCGAGGGAGAGAGAGGGTGGCAGAAAAACCAAGTCCTGTGGCCAAGCAGAATTGAGAGGAGAGATAAGAAAATGGTGGAAAATAGCCATCTGTCTGGTTCAGTGTGAGCTGCCAGGGCCTGGGAAGGCAGTCACAGGAGTGTGGAAAAGGGCAGTGTCCACCTTGGGCACCCAATGGGTAAGATCTACTCCACAAACAAGAGAGAGCTCTGAAGACAAAGGAGAAAGACTGAGGCCCACTGAGTACTCTAGGCTTCTAAAGGACACGGCTACAGAGGGCAGAGGTCGCCTGACAGAGAATAAAGAACTCCCAGACAAGACAGAGGCAACTGAAGTGTGGTGGGACACTCCTTTATTCATCCATAGCTCTTGGGGAGGCAGAGGCAGGCAGGCGGATCTCTGTGAGTTCAAGGCCAGCTTAGTCTACTCGGTGAGCTCCAGGACAGTCAAGGCTACTAAAGGAGACCCTGTCTCAAAAATGAAGGAAGGGAGGAAGGAATGAAGAGCTGGAGAGATGCCTCAGAGATGTTAAGAGCACCGGTTGTTCTTCCAGAGGACGGTTCCAGCACCCACCCACATGGTGGCTCACACTGTCTGTAACACCAATGCCAGGAGATCTAACATCTTCTTCTGGCCTCCACGAGCACCAGGCACACGCATGATCTATGTACATACATGCAGCAAAACACTCTTACACATAAAACAAATAAGTATTTTTTAAAAAAAAAAAAAAAACGTAAAGAGACAGAAACAATTGGCTAAGGACCACTGTCAATAACTAGTTTCTGCCAGACTGTGTACCACTTCTCATAAGGAAAGGGGTACTTGGTTTGTAGGTGTATTTCACGTGTGGTGCTTTAAAACTTGGTCTATAGTAAATAGCAAGAGACTGGATGCTATGCCTATTAGTATGGGCTTCAAAATAAATGTACTAAGTCCTAAGCAGTCCAGCGGGGACGTCTGCAACCTCCAGAGAAAGCCACCAAGAACTACCCAGCCACTCCACAGATACAGAGAATAGGCTATACAGCTGGGTGGCGGTGGCGCCCGCCTTTAATCCAAAGCTACAGAGAAACCCTGTCTCGAAAAACAAACCCCCAAAAAAAGAAAGAGAGAAAGAAACAAAATAGGATATACATTATTTTAGCTACTCAATTTGGGTTTACTTGCACAGAAGAAATGGATTAGCTAAAACAGTAACAGTGGGCTGGAGCGGTGGCTCCGCAGTTAAGAACACAGACTGCTTTTGCAGAGGACCTGAGTTCAGTTTCCATTACTCATGCTTGACAGGTGACTCACAATCACCTATAATTCCAGCTCCAGGGTCTCTGACCCTGCCTTCTGGCCTGAGGGCACCCGCACTCGCGTGCACACGAGATCCCCATATGCACGTAATTGAAAATAAATTGACCGGAGAGATGGCTTGGTGGTTAAGAGCACTGGCTGCTCTTCCAGAGGCCCTGGGTCCGATCTTGAGCACCCACATAATAGCTCACAACTGTGTGTAACTCCAATCTCAGGGGACCCAAGGCCTTCTCCCAGTGTATATGGGTACCAAGCACTCGCATGGTGCACAGACAGCCGCACAGGCAAAATTCCTATACATATAAAATAAATACATTTTAAAAAAAATAAATAAATGAAAATAAAACACTAAAGATCAACAGCAAACAGATTTCCTTCCAGAATATCAGCTTTGTCATACTGCTTGCATTTTTTCCTTGTTAACTTTGGAACTGGAGATGGAATGTAGAATCTTTGTACATCAAGAACCCATTCTTACCACGCAGCTGCATCCCTAGATCCGACCTGCCATGTTTCTCAGTCCCCCCTCCCAGGACACAGCAGACATGACTGATTCCTGGACCGGTCCTCCCTCCCCAGGTCCCGCGTCTGCTGTCTGGGCGATCTTTGTTATGCTCCCACAGGTTTACAACTAACATTCTCTCTCCTCGGTGTTCAAAGCAGAGCAGCCACTCTGATTTCTTTACTTGGCTCTACAGGTAATATGCCAAAGTTACATCATGAACCAAAACTTAGACCAAAATTACATCTTAACCACGGTAATTATAAAAAGACTGCTGCGGCGGATGGGGGAGCTAGCTCAGTAAGCAAAGTGCTGACAAGCACAGAGACTTGCGTTAGAGCCTCAGAACACCTGAAAACGACAGATGCCGTGGAATATGGCCGAATCCCAGAGCTGGGGACACAAGAGAGGATTCCAGTCTTGCCTGGCTGGTGGCCTCCAGCACAGGGACAGAGATTCCAGTCTCGCCTGGCTGGTGGCCTCCAGCACAGTCAGAGAAAAGAGACAGCATCTCTGAAGATGACACCCGGGGTTTTCTCTGACCTCCATAGGCTGCACCCACACATACGTGAACAAGCTTGCACCACCCCCACAAAGGCACAACAAATAACCATAGAGAGGCAAGAAATTCCAAGAGATTGAATAGATCTTTAGCTCTGACCATCTGTGTGATATGAAATGCCATTTTTTAAATACCTATTTAATACCTTAGATCAGGACAAGCATGGTGCAATCCCAGCACTTGGGAGGCAGAGTTGGGGGATTTCTGAATTCAAGGCCAGTCTGATCTATACACTGAGTTCCAGGACAGCCAGGGCTACAGAGAGAAACCCTGTCCTG